CAAAAATCCCAAATCTCCTCACACTACCAACCCAACCCTCTATTAGACGCGAGGCGGATTTACGGGAAAACCACATACTACTCGCATGACTCATCAGTAGTTTCCGCCGCTACCCTGGTAGTATAATCAGAAAATGGTGTGGTAACTAGGCTATTTCATGTTGCGTTTTACGTTTGTCATTCGTAGGAGATTACCGTTATTTATCCGACCGTTTTCAAGTCCTCTGCCCTCACATGAGAAAAAGAAACTATCATGTCGTGCCAACTAATCGTGTACTCTGCCCGCCTTTCTCGTACAATTTTGCTGCCAGTCAACCTGTCCGAGTCACTACGGCCGCACTGTGTGAACCTCCACGATGACTCAAGTAGTTAGAGCGTGAATTTACTGACCGGAAAGTCCGTGGGTTGAAACCCACCTCTGTCTCTCGACTTCCCCTGTCTAGGCTTGGGCAACCTAACAGTATCTCAGCCCTCCTGCTTCCTTCTAGTGGCATGGCAACTAGGCACCGGAAGGGTGCTACAGATGAACGATACATCCGATTCTATTGATTGTTCAGCTGTGAAATGATTCAGGAATTTTTAGACGAAAAAGAAACTTTTTGGGCACATGTCTTGGAATCTATCCATTCATCGCTGCCTAACAGAACGTGGAGCCGTCCAGCTATCTAAAGTCCGTCCACTGATCATCCTGTCGGAAGCGACTGGCACCAGTCTCCTGTTGACGGACAGGCTTGTCCGCCAGCCGTTTTCACCGATTTAGGTCGTAAGTGGCAGCCAAAACTGCAGAAGCTCAGTTCAGGCTCCGTGCGGTTTCTCCTTGAACCACCAAACTCTATAGACAGATCACACCATCAGTCATTGAAAACTTAACTCACGAAAGTAATTTGTTCTTGCTGACCAAATGTATGGCGGCCTTTCTGGAAAAAAGTAGTTAGGGATGCGATTAGTCCGAAGAGATTTGGGGGATGTAAGTCTAAGGCAAAAGATACTTTGCAAATGCTCCGTCCTTACTGGAGAATGAGTGGCACTGCATCGTTTCCAAGCGCGAGCTAATCACCGCTGGTGTCCGAACCACTAGTCGGCGCTAGATGGAGGGTCAGAAGCTCTCTGAGTTTGTGAAATGCGCACTTCTGGTGATTCCCAACAAGCATGAAACATCTGCAGAGCACTTCTCGGCTTTTCAGCACAGATCGACTTCAACCTGTTGGTCGCATTCAATAGTTCAAAAAAGACCTTAAGATGAACAACTGGCTGGGGGTCGTAAACAGGCCAAACTGGTTGAACCAGACTGCACGGTTGCCAACCAATGGGTCGATCTGCGAGTGGCACGATGTGAATGTCTGCAAACTGATCACTGTTCGCATACCTGGGGTGCGCGCAACACTCTGGTTTGGCTGACCGGAACCTTATCCACGTGACCGCTCCTCACGGTTTATACCGTGCGGCCTTAACAAGTTCACACCAAAAATTTGTCATCTGATATCATGGTCGAAAATATTCCTAATCTGTCTCAAGCCCCCCAACAAATGCATTCATTCACAATCAGATTCACTTTACACCCGTTTATTTGATTGATAACTATTTTCCGAACGAATTCATGCGCGAAAATCTGTTGTGCAATTAGATGTGCACGTGATCGATTCGGTACTATCGATTATATGGAAACAGTTCGTTTGTTCTGGGACAAAGCATGCTATCAGATTATGTGATGTCCATTAAAAAATGAGGGTTCTGACGTACGTTGTATTTGTTGCTTTGGGTTTTTTTGGGATCTTACCAAACGAGTCCGACCGGATTAAAAAGCATCAGGTAAAAATTGGCTTGAAATTCTACTGCAACGTCGATCAATAACCATCAATCGACACTTTTTATAACCCTAAAAATGACTGCGATTCACTCGAATTAAGCCAAAAAAGCAAAGGATCTCTTCGTATTTATACCTGCACCTTGAATTGGTTCTAGGGCAGTCAAACTGGTCCTTGTTCCCATGGTTTCATAGCCAGTAGTAAGCTGTTACTTTGTGGAGTTCGTTAGTTCTGGTTTGAAGGAGAAAGCCGAGACACAAAGTTCATACTACTAAATGACGGTTGCGCACCTACTAACCACGCCCTCCGTATGTGAGGCAACAGTCAAGTTGATATTTGGCTTTTTGAAGGTTACAGAGTTGCCGATTCGACCAAGGATGTGAAGCATCCATGTTCTTTAGCAAACTTCCAAACCGGTCTTCACTCGTCTCATATCGAGCCGATCTAGCGTTACACTAGAAAAAATACTTTACCCCAGTCCGAGAATATACGCGTTTGATCGTCAAAGGGGATGGCGGAAAGAGTTTGTTCTCTTATTCCACTGTGAGTCGGTAGCTCTTATTGGATTCGAAATTTAGAATACCCACTTTCAACGCCCCACATCCACGTCTATCAACAACCGTCCAGCAAAACTCCCAGGCCAGACAGGCGTTGTCTTTGCTCCCGGTGGTCTCGACGATGCCGAAATCCGCGGTTGTCATGCTTCATTGCCTGGTAACAGTTCGTATGGGAGGGCCACTTGCAATTTTGACATCCTTAGAACAGGACGGTCTTCCAACAAAAACACTAACACCGACATCATTCAGGAGACGCGGAAGAGATATATTTATTTACATCACTCGCTCCGTTTACTGTGATGGTGAACTGAGCTAGGCTAAATTTAAATACATTCCACTAGCCTTGACAAAATATCTCGAAGACTTTTCAGAGTGTTTCCTCGATGGGGGTGCTTCTCTCTTCCTCTGAGATATGACCAGTAAGTTCACATGCATTCTTCATGAGTTTATGGTACTTTCATTTGTCTCTGGGATTGTGTTTCAACAGCTTGCTTGAGGGGGTCATGGAATTTTTAATTTCATTTTGGGTAGATTGTTCAGCTAATCGATCTTCTTCCTGTTCTAGAATAAAACAACATGGCCAGATCTTTTCGATCAATCAAATTGGAGTAAAAGCCATAAACTGCGATAATTTGCCAGAAATAATGATTATCCTATTTACCGGCATAAACAACTACTTTGAAAGATTCAGAACTATTGATCGATGTTGATTAACTTGGTCATATTCTAGGACTATCTAAGCTTCAGTCTGTATTTCAAATGTATAATTTTCTAAGGGACGATTCTGTTTAACATGCCGGTGAGTGCAAGCCACATCCAGTCATATGGACTTGCTTAATTTGGATGCAACCTTCGTGAAGGGTTCCCGGGTTCTCTTATCAAATACTTGCAGCTTCATCTACCATTTTTAGGTTGCTGTGTAAATCGCTTGACCTCTAGGGAGACAGTAAATCAATCAGTAGGCACTGTACAGTCCTCTCGTTTATCAAATACCATATTCCGTCTATGAGCGAGCCTACGGAGCTACCGACCAGTAAGTTGGAATTACGTGGTATAAAATTGAACTACTAACAGAAAGCCAGTAGAGGGTTGAAATACTGATTATTTTCGAGGCGAATGAAACAGTAGCACAGAGCCTCACGGATCACCATAATCATCGACATTATGACATACTTCACTGCCGTACAGCCTCACTTTATCTGAAAGCCACATGCAGGCACTGGATAGAAACTGACGACAGGAGTGCCATTGAAGTCTACCAGTAGCGTCTCCAAACATGCACAGGGGGGTCACGTGGACCCCATCCTGGAAGGTCAGTCGCACACACAGTACTCATTTTCCGCTGTCAGACCAGTGGTTCACAACCTCCCTGCTTGCACCACGCTGAAGATTTTCAGAATGTAAGCTTCAATTACAGAGGGAAATTCTACCCGTTACCTGAAAGTTTCCCTAAAACTAAAAACTAACAAAAAATATGCTAAGAAAAAGGCAAATGTCCCACGAGTCAAATAGGCCTTTTTGTGGGTAGCGATCGATCGAAGAACGAGACAACACCGGATCACATGATGCGAACTGCGGTTAGAAGCCATTGACACCTCATGGGTCAGTCACACGCCATTCAAGGGTAGGTGGCCGAAAGGTGTAGAATGTAGCCACTAAACGAAAGGTTGCAAGTTCCAACCATCTCAGAAATATTTGGTTCTTAAGGAGAACAAAACAACCGTACCATACTTTCTGGCATTTCAGCTTTTGGAAGACGGAACTTGCATCCAGGTTTTGGAGGACTGCCTCTGTACTTTGCCACATGAAATGTGTCGAGATGTTTCAAAGCAATACTTCGGTAATTCAGTGGGGTCAAAGCTGTTTCTACTGGTTACCTAATCATGAGGTTCCAACACGCAACCCACCGAAGCACTGTTGTTTATAGCTCCGTAGTACAGTTTGTAAACGTGATTCGAACTAATGGAATGGAGTACATGATTCAAATAGGTGGTTTGAAGACAGTTTGAGAAGACAAAAGGTGATAAAACGTGAACAAAAACCCAAGACAGTATATTTCCAAATGACTTTTTTTTACCAAATGAGATCCGGTGTATTTGAACTCAATATTGGTAGACAGCGAAAATAAATTCTCTAATGAATGGGATAGTTCATTTTGAAAAACCAGCGAATGCGATTTTTCAGGAGACTATTTTCCCAGATAAGTTAGGTAGAGGAGCTCCGTTGTCCCAGCTACATACTGGTCAAACTACCGTACCACGCTGAGGAAATGTTGGTTCAATGCGGCACACGATTCGACAAAATGGATCTTGTTCCATTTCTTCGTATTACCATCTACAGTTGGATTACACAACCTGTAGTAGGGGTGAGGTATACACCTGGATACTCACGTAAAGTTGTTTCACTCAAAATAAGCTTATGGTATACTTTTCATACCGCCATACACAACTTTACTCCGCATGTTCTGAACATAGGCATTAACGTATTCCTTGGCTGTTGTATCTTGCGGCGGCCGTCTATGGGTTACGCCTGCACTGAGCCTGCCAGACTACGCGATAGGGAGAAGACTGAGAACTGGGGACACGGCTGTATTGCCAGGACAAAACATACAGATCGTCCGCGTAAATATATAGGATGACAAAATGGCCAAATATGGTCGTTCACTTGTTCGCTCCGTGCGGCCAATGGCGATGTTCCGGTCGTGAACAACCTCAGGTCCACTAAGCTGGTCGTATGTTGTCAAACCGTGTTTAGGGAGAGCCACCAACTCACCTACTTTCCGGACGTGTTGTACCGATGGTAACCTTGGGGATGCGTCACACTATGCACATGTGCTTTTTTCCTGTTGGGACAACATCTAACCGCGCAAAATTTTTATAAGCTACCTGCGAATGTAGGCTCAAGGAGGCAGCACGTTTTGCGTGAGCACGTTTACCATAAGATACGGATTGAGGGCCAAAAAGGAATATCTGAATTTGTACAAATGTTTGCTCACAAAAACGCAACAAAATATCGTTACGATGGGGATTGGAGAAGACGACTTCAATGATACCACCGTGAACGGTATGGACACTGGACCCAGTTCATGGCTCGCCCCTCGTTTTCCTCTGGATCTTCGAAACCGCATTCGGCAAAAATGTTGTTATCCTCCAGAAACTCTTGCAAAGTGGGCTCGGCTGATGGTCCATCGACGAATTCCGTTCAGGGTTGATGCTTGCGTCATATGTAGCCACTGCCCGTCGCATACCAGGTTGGATAGCTGAAACAGTTCCCTCTTCATCCGAGCTTGAAACGTCAACATCGGCCGTTTCGTCGTGGACAACAGATATTCTAGGCCCACCGCGACAATCCTTCCGAGAATTCCGTCTGATGGGGGGCGGGAGCATCCAAATCCAACAACGCGGCCGGCGGCATTTGATCGTGTCCGTGGTTCGATTGATGGGCGTAGAATATCAGGCAGCCACTTTCGTTAACTTGCTTGACAGTTGGCTTTTTATCGTTTTCTTTTAGAAACAAAGATAAATAGATAGATAGCGGCAGTCCCCCGGTTTTCTTTGCTGAATTTGGGTACATCCACTATTGTGTCTCCGCTACGGCGTGCCTCATTTAGTCACGCTGCCATTGGGAACGTTCACCTCTAAGTCCCAGAGGGGTCCAACTGGCGAGGCCTAATCTGATTGGTCAACTCCACTGGCCTCAGTGTGGAGAAGCTAATGAACGTGCAATTCCCTTTTGCACTAATAGTGCATGAATATTTGGATTTCCTGTTACACACTTTGTGAAGTCGTGGTAACAGCATCAGCCCATTCTGCTAGCATTCCCGCAAATATCTTCTTTTCACTATCAACCGTCACTCGCTCACTCAAGCCTATATTTGAAAATACGAACAAATCTTTCATCCTGCACCGACCGCCTCTGGGGGGAGTTTGTCCTAACCCGCCAAACAGCTCGTTCGGATTAACCACCCCGGCTTTCCGCTGCGATTTCAGTTTGCCCCTTCCACAAGTTCAACAATTTCATTTACGGTGTTTGTTCGGCCCTATGCATTAGAACCACCATCCCATGGAAAGTATGCTTCACACCTGACGTCCCGGCAACAACGAAGCCAGTGAGTCTACTTAGTTTCAATGTATCCCATACTTTTGAGATGAAACTTGTCATTTGTCCCCACTTCAAATTATTCCACCTCCATCTCCATTTTTGCTTTTTGCGGTCTTTTACTCAACCGCCTAAGGTCACTCACTCATGGCCAGCAATGATTTTTCAGCTTTAGTTCAAATCACGAATTCACAGATTGATACACATGATCGAGGCTTTCGCCAAAGTTTCCTGGATTGGTTTCGTTCTCGTCTTCTGGCGGCTGCTGTTAACCTGAAGGGCACAAGAAAAATGGTGTAGCACTTCTCACAAATCTGCAAATGGAACATACGAAAACAAGCCACAATTCTGGATGTCGCTCGAAAAAAAGAAAACGTATTGTTCAAATACATGAGGCATCGCCGCAGAAACAAGCCATCCGCGTTCTCCTTAAGGGACAAAAACGGAGAACCGATGAATGACCCAACAGTGGTGTCTGCGGTTTACAGAAGACACTATGCGTGTCTATACTCAGTCCCAGCGTCTTCGTCACATCCACTCTTGTCAAGGCGGAATTACGAACAGCCTCTTGGTCCTCACGGTGGAGGACATTCGTCAACTCTGCGCGTTGAGGCCCGACAAGGTCCACCCAAGGATGCTGAAAGAAACGTCCTCCACACTGGCAAATCATTTACACCTGGTGTTTCGTCATTCGCTTGACGAAGGCCACCTCCCCTCTGCTTGGAAGGAGGTGATTGTCACGCCAATCTACAAACCTGGTGACCGACTGTTGCCTGGCAGCTACAGGCCTATAAGCCTCACTAGCGTGCCGTGCAAGGTGATGGAACATATTCTGAAGCGAGCTATCTGAGACCACCTTACATCCAGCAACCTGATATATCCAGCTCAGCACGGATTTTCCCACACCGCTCTTGCGTGACAAACATGCTCGTGTTTATGGACAGGTTAATCCAAGCGAAGGACGAAGGACTCATATCGGATGCCATATTGTTCGATTTCTCAAAACCATTTGATAGGGTCCCACACGTCCCGCTGCTCCACAAACTCGAGTCTTACGGGATTCAAGGAAAAATCGTTCGCTGGATCAAGGCGTTCCATTCGGACAGATCATTCCGAGTGAGAATAGGCTCGACCTATTCATCTCCAGCGCCGGTCTCCATTGGAGTTCCTAAAGGCTCCAACCTGGGATCACTGCTGTTTCTCATCTAGGTCAAACGACCCCCAGATGTTCTTGCAAGTCAACGTCTACTTTTTATGGATGACTTGAAATCCTGGAGTTCCAATGTCAATGCCCTCCAAATGGATGTAGACGCTGCAGAGCAGTGGTCTTCGGACTGGCGCCTTCCTTTGAATGACGAAAAGTGCGTCCATATGTTGCTTGGAGGAGACTAAGCGAATGCCTTTGTCATGCATGGTGAGAAAGGACCAGAAACATCATGAGGATAGATGCCAAAAAGGATTTGGGCATCCGGGTCTCCTCAAATTTGTCCTTCTCACTGCGTCATGAGAAATCGCCTCGAAAGGTATTCGGCACTTTACCGATGATCCGACGCACCTTACCCGTATCACTCCCATAGACTTCCAAATACTCTATGGGGCCTACGTCAGACCGCTCCTGGAATACGCAAACCAAGTTGTCTATCCAGGATGCACGAAGGACGGCACCGTCATTGAGCCTGTCCAGCGAGCCGCTACGAAAATGGTTGTCGGCCTCAAATCCGTGGACCACGAAACGCGTCTCGCGATGCTTGATCTCTTTCCCCTGGAGTACCGTCGCCTCCGAGGGGACCTAATTCTTACTTATTCCTTGTTTGAACTAAGCTTGGCGAACAGGTTTTTCACCATTGACCCAGCAAACACATGGCGGGGACATAGTAAGAAGATTTTCAAGCTTAGGGTACACGCATTCATCAGATGAAATGTTTTCTCATTCCGGGTGGTTACTGCGTGGAATGGCCTTCATCCGCCGGTTGTCCATGCTCCTTCTAGAACCCAGTTTAAAGCACTATCAGACATTCATTCATGCGAATCCTCGCGCTGGCGAGCACACTGCCCCGCGCTGAGATCACAAAGAGCAGTGCTACACCTCTTTTTGCACTTGTTCCTTTCAGGTGAACGACAGCCACTGACCAACAAGAACAAAGCCGNACCCGGGAAACTTGGGCAAAAGCCTCGATCCTATGCATCAATCCGTGAATCTCTGAAAAAGTCCTTATCGCGAGCAGATGCTTACCAGCTTGAGGATTTGCATAAAAGGCATCCGATAGTGCCTTGAATTTGGTACTATATGGATCGCGGAAAACATTCGCAGAAAGGTTATTCCACGCAGCAAATACCCAAAACTAGGAAAATATTGCTTGATAAAGTGTGTGCGCTGAGCTTGAAAATCCTCTTACCATGCTACCGCTGTGTGTTGGCTGGGTCAACGGTAAACAACCTTTTGTCTCCCAACTTGTTCAAGCGGATTCGTCACTGAATCAATCGTACCTCTACAATCGTACCTTCCACAACTGCAGTGAATTTTAAGGTAGCAAATGTGCCTCGTTGACTTTACTTTCCCCCTTTGTATCGTTGCTCGCCGCTTTTATGCTGTAACGACCCGACCATAACTCAATCGGCATGTTCCTTACGAGTTGGGAAACTGCCCTATTAGTAAAAGGAATTCTTAATGCCCCAGCTCGGCTAAGCAAAACGCGGGTGACTCGTACCCGTTTGGTTGTGGCCAAACACGAGCCCATATTTGGCCGGCGAATTTAATTTAAATGAGACTTTCTTAAATACTATGTTGCTTTTTGCATGTCATTGGTGCCACCTGACGAAGAAATATTGGTCAATTTTGGTAGTGTTGTGAAATAAATCATTGGTCAATTGGCCGCGATCATTGTTTTCCATTTATGTGACAACCATTTGGACTTTTTGAGCTTTACTAGTTTTTATTGTTGTTTTGGCATGAACAAACTATCATCATTAATGGATGACCTCAAGGAAAGTGGAATAAGCGAAGTCTCCACTGATGACTTGGGGATGGGTCGTTTTACCTAGAACAGCTTCTTGTTGACCAGGGAGAAGTTGCGGTGTCTGATTGAAGCTGCTAGGTTCATCGATGGCCGGACGAACACAACCTCTGTCAGTATGCTTATTTTGCACAGTACTACCAGCCTCAGAGGACAGGACTGGGCATCAATTGAAACTATGAAGCGATTGATCAATGGTATATCTTCTTCCTCCGCAATTCGCCATTCAGGGAATTGGAGCGGGTCGTCGGTGTGGTCAGTTGTCGACTACTTCCCCAAATGAGTCAACCAATAAATTTACGTGGATAATCAAAAGAAGACTGCCACCTCGGGGCAGAGTGACTGTGGCTTAGAGCATTAGAAACCAGCTTGATTTTTCTTTTTCTAAAATTTCTTTAGAAAGGTACGTCCAAAAGTGATGCTCAGAGAACGGACAACTATACTCCATCACGTGCAGGAAGGCCAGAAAGAGCTCTCTCTAATGTATACATGTGCAGGCAAGCTGTTTTTCCGTCAAGGACTGATGAGATGATGTTTCCGTAAAATAAGTGATGGTGCCAGGTGGTAAATAGGCAATTTGTTCGAAGAAGAGGACCTGAGTGAGCGGATCCACCTCCGGACTTTGCTGAATATGACCGACTGTAGTTACTCAAGTGCTCCGTACAACCGTTTTCATTCAATCTGTCTGATCCCTGGTCTGCAATCACATGGCCTTTCAACTGAAGGGGAATAAGCTATGACCCTGCCTTGGCCTGCCTCCATCCATGTCAGTCTATTTGCCTAACCCTGATCAAGCTGCCAGGAAAATGCCTATCCCCCCTACGATCATGGCAGCCTTGACGGCCGTTACAGGGCTGTCCGTAAACCGAAGCATATCAAATGATGGCATGGCGCTGTCACACAGTGCGATGGCACTCCCGCAACTATGTTCTTCGGAATCTTGACCTCAACCTCTCGCCAACTCGAGCCCGTAGCTGCAACGACGAGGACGTTTTCCACCTGGCCTTAACCGCCCCTTAGACGAGCCTAACCCGTTGAAAGTTTTGTTCGGATTTAACCAACCGGGTTTTCTTCTGTAATTTCGGTTTGCCCCTTCCACAAGTTCAATTCCATATGCGGTGGTCGTTTAGCCGTATGCACATGCACTACCTTCCCATCGCATCTATATTTTACACCTGACTCCCCTACAAAAGCGGCACCAGTGAGTCTACTTAATTTTAGGTAAAAGCATATTTTTGAGACAAAACTTGCCATTTGCTTTCACATCGAATTATTCCATCTCTATCTCCATTTTTGCTTTTTATGTTCCTGGTCTTTTACTCAAACGCCCAAGATCACTCATGGCCAGCAAGGACTATCAATTTCAGTTCTTATCAGCCGGCTTCATCTTTGAAATAGCCGAACCTCATGCCCA